GTGTTCTAAAACACTGTTTCTCTCTGACATATACTGTACTGTAATACACTACGCCATGTATAAAGAATTGCGACTCTATTTTGATGTTGTCTTTCGGTTTTTTGCCATAAAGACCTTCTGGTGTGACCATAAGTTTATCGAAACGTGAATGAATAAACCTGATACCAGGGGCTGATCCAGGAATATCAAAAGAGGGGGAGGGGTCCAAGAAGTTGAGGGTGGGGGAACATGGCGAGCGCATTTTGAAGTCATGCGCATTTGATATTAGGGGATATTCTGAAGTCAATAGTAAATACTTTTTACTATACAAAAACGCCCGAGTACAATACTGCATTAAAGAAAAAGTACTGTAATTTTCTGGTGAAAAGGGGGGTCCGGACCCCCCCCCCCCTGGATCTACCCTTGGACCGACAGTATACTGGATGGGGACAGCACTGAAAATTCAACTGAGAAACTGTGGCCAGCACTGCGCCATATACGCCTTTAACTTCAACCGTAAAGTTGCCGGCCACCGCACGTCTTGCCGAAGTGTAAAAACAAAACAAAAATGTACAGGGTATATGTTTCCCTATTATGTTTTTCTTCCTTCTTTGCCTGACAAGTGGGTAGAAATTCATTAGCTTGTATGTTTATTTCATTAAGGATTACTGGAAACCCTAGGTATTGTATTTAAGGTGTTATATGTTGTAACGGTATCGTTGGGTTAATAAAAATAGATTAAATTATTTTTATTATTATTGAAATATATCTATCCCAAAACCACACATGGAACATTATTTACATGGCAGTTACACTTGTAATATGAAAAATAGCAAGATACAGTAAGCTTCAGTAACAAATAAACCTTATAAAAAAAAAAAAAATATATATATATATATATATATATATATATATATATATATATATATATATATATATATATGTATATATATATATATATATATATATATATATATATATATATATATATATATATATATATATATAATATATATAATATATATATATATATATATATATATATATATATATATATATATATATATATATATATATATATATATATATATAATAATACTAATATACTTGCATGATACGGGTTGTAAATAATGAAGAACGTCAGTACAGTACATGATAAACTATTGTCAAAGAAGAACAACGAACGTGACATTAAAAAAAACGATATTTTTTGAAAGGCGATCCCAACCAAACCTAATTTAACAACGATCTTTGGGTAGTTGTGGATAAATTAGGGTAGGTATGGATGATTTAACAACCTGTCACCCGTTAAGCATTTTATGATGTTGGCAATTTTATACGTAAATTCCATGTCGTTTGTTTACAATAACTTGGAGTGACACAGATATACTGTAGTGGATTCTGGTGGTCAATAATTTATTGAATATAAGGTACTACTTCTGTACAGTTATTGATAATGTGTTTACACGACAAGCTATTCAATTTTTTTTTACATGTGTAATGTTTATTTAAGTTTTGGGAGGTTTGTGGTGGTATTTTTTATTGGTAATTTTTATTTAATGATGTTTAGGTCTTTAAGATTAGTTAATTATTCACTGGATATTTGTCCGGTTATCGGTTAGGTAGTTTTTTTTTAATAACAGACCAGGAGTTGATAGAATTGGACGAAATTTTTTGGAAACATTAATTACAATCTATTAAATAGATAAATGGAAACGAGAATCCATTCAATATCGTTAGGTATGTTTTAAAGGTAATCCTGGAGCATATAGGTAACACCAGAATGTGCTCGATTTCGTTAATTTTTCCACAGATGTTCTTTGATAGTAAGTAAGGTATTACAGTATTGCATTTTCACACCCCACTTTCCTACCACTAATCTATTATCATATTCGAATAAGACTTCTAATTATAAGATAATTTTCATCTATTACTTTACCGTCGCAAATGTACTATAATGGAGATAGCTTATCCAAAATTTTCCCTATTTTCTTCCATTAATCTTCCTCCATTATCACCTACCTCACCTCCAACACTGCGTGTCTCCTTCATAAATCATCACACGCATGCGTTCCCGTACACGTCACACGGCCAATCAATAGCGTTTTTTTTTTTTTTTTGCAACCTATTAAAATTATTTTTTGTTTAATTCGCGGTATTTTTGGCCCAATCAAATCCGATATTTATTTTGGGTCTCATATTTCCAAATTCATATTCATTTCCAACCATTGAAGTCTGTGATGGGTGTCATTTAAATTATATGGAGCTGATTGCGAGTTTTTGGGAAAAAACGATTCATGATTCTTCTGGTGTTGTATCACTTCTTGGAAGAAGCTGCCCGCCTATACCCCCTGTTAAGCGAGAATCAGCGTCAGCAACCTATAAGAATCTCAGAATCCAAAGATGAACAAGAACCAGGCCAATAAAGTAAGAAATAGGTGATTCCATCATATGGTGAGAGTCAGTTAGGTTAGGTTAGGTTTGGTTTATGTTTTTCTAGTGTTTTTTGGTGTTTTTTGTATTCGCTTAGCTATTAGTTTTTTCGTAAAACGTCCCACGAAAAAAATTGAAAAAAAAAACTGGCCAATTTCTGACGGAAATGAAGGTCTTAATAGGTCTAAACACACAAATACACCAAAAAAATATATTTTTGACTATCTAACAGAGTGGGGTGCGCTTATGCAAAATTACCCTAAGTACAGTAATACAAATGATTCAACAATACACTGAACCTAATAGAACCTGACCTAGCTGATACCCGGAAAATTCCGGGGATGGGGGATATTTTTCTGGGTGCATGAGATGATGTAATGGGCAATTTCTGGAACTTCCGAGAACATTTTCCGTGAACCGAAAAATTCTGGAAAATTCCGGGGAGGAGGGATATTTTTTACGGCTCTGAGAGAGTCCTCTCGTTACCCGGCAATCTCTCATTCCCGGAAGTGCTCTGTACCAATTGTTCCAGCTAACAGATATATCACTATAGCTTTTAAGCTAACGTTAGGTTAGAAAGTTTAGTTTGGTTCATTTAATGAATGATGAATTATACAGTAAAATAATATACGTTGTAGTATCTCCGTTAGTCGGAACTCTCCAATAGCCGAAATTGAAATTGGCTTGGAATTTTTCCAGGAAACTCTCCATTCCAGCTCTGTGAATGAGTTTTGGAGGTTGAAAATCGGGTGCATTTTTGAGAAGTTTCTGAAAAATCTCCAAAAAATTTATGGGTCGGGGAGCAAATTCCAAAGTTGAAAATCAGGTGCATTCTCTGGAAAATTCTGAGTAAACTTCCAGAAACTCTCCGATTTTTTTTCCAGGTCTGGGGGCAAATACCGAGGATGAAATAATGTGTATTGTAATTCTGGAAAATTCAGAGAAACTTTTCCCAGTACAGTACACTACCCTGAAAATTTTTCGGTCTGGTTATTACTTGGATGGGTGAATGCCTGGTGCTAAAAGCACCAGATGCTGCTGGCATAAGGACTCTACTGGAAATAAGCATTTCTTTAATATCATTTCACCACTTATAAGCTTGCTAGCCATTTGGGCGGTCTATCTGCCAATTTAGCTGGCAGGGTGGACATCCACTACCGGATGAAGGGTCTTTTCAACATAAGAAGATTCCAGGCAGGAACAAAGGTGTCAGCAGCTTTCATTACTGAACTTCAGTATGCAGAAGACCTCACCCTTGTTGCTCACACTGAACACGACCTACAGGAGATCCTGAACACCTACGCAGATGTTTATGCACACTTCGGTCTTGAGGTGAATGTACTTAAGACTCAGATTCTCTTTCAGCCTGCCCCTGGTTCAGACACACCTCCACCATCCACCCGGCTTAATGGTACCACTCTCTCTTATGTTACCTACTTTTGGTATCTCGGCTCCCACCTGTCCATCACCGTGGACATTGATGAAGAGATTCAACATCGGATCAGATGTACATTACAAGCCTTTGGCAGACTTCATGCCTGTGTCTTCAGCTGTAGGGAGCTGAAATTATCTACAAAGTTGCACTTATATCAAGCAGTGGTCCTCCCCACCCTGCTATATGGCAGTGAGACATGGGTCACATACAGAAGGCACCTCAAGGCACATGAAAACTTTCACCAACGTAGTCTATGTTCCATCCTCGGAGTTTGCTGGGAAGACAAGAGAACAAATGCCAGTATTCTTGCTGACACCAACTGTAAGAGCATCGGGGCTACCATTGTCCATGAACAACTGCGCTGGACTGACCATGTTACCCGCATGGATGACAGTAGACTACCAAAGCAGCTACTTTACAGTCACCTAACTGAAAAGGTACAGTATAAGGATAGTCTTAAGACAAATCTGAAAAAGGGCCAAATCGACCTCCTCACCTGGGAGACAATTACTCCACACTGTAACGCTTGGAGGAGCATCACACGAGAAGGTGTCAATACTTTAGAGTTATCCCGACTGCATACCAAGGCAGACAAGCGCCAACACCGGAAAGACACTGCTGCCGCCCCTCCCGCACTAGATGTTACCCCCCCACATGTGCAACATCTGTGGATGACCCTGCCGGTCCCATATTGGCCTCTTTAGTCACCTCAAAACTCACCAACCTAGGTGACATCCTTAATAACTCAATATCATTGTATCATAGCTGGATGATCATCATACTCGATTCCGAGTGACAGCAAAGTAGTAGTAGTAGTACAGGAGGAAACTGGGAACCGGGAAACCTGTGATGTTTAGTAGGGTCACACTTCTGACGTGTGTCCAGGCCGAGGCTCGAACCCTTGACATTGGTGAGAATTACGCACGTTACCGCTGTACCACCAACATCCCCATGGCTTTGTCAGCTGTCCTTGGTCAAATTGACTAAATATCAATTTTTATGTTATTATTATTATTATTATTATTATTATTATTATTATTATTATTATTATTATTATTATTATTATTATAAGTTAAAAAAAAAATCCAGGTTTCATTATTTTCTCTAATGTTTGTTTATTTCAAACTATTTAATGGAACTTTGACATTTGCAGGTGAGAGAACCCCAGGGGGCTCAGATCATCACTGCAAATGGCCAGACATACTCAGTGATGCCCCAGGCCCAAATGCAAACAGTAACCATTGATGGACAAGAGGCAATCTATATACCAGCACCTATGCAGCATGCACCTGCCACACAACAGATACAGATAGCAGGAAATCAAGCCATATTTACTCCAACAGGACAAATCATAAGAGCTCAAAATATCATCCAGAATGTGCAAAGCGTTGGTCAAGTAGGAACGGTAAGATATATTTTATCTTACTGTAGTTTCTGAATTATTTTGAATAATTACTGGTATAATGGTCATTATTAAGTTATGCATACTTTCATGTGGAAGAAAAGAAATTTAGTAAAATAACTGTTGAAGTGCCATTTTTTTTTTTTTTTTTTTAGGGGATTAGCCCACCCGGGCACAGGTCACTGACCCACATCGGGACCTAGGGGGCAAAAATTTAATAATAGTAATTCATAGTAAATAAAATTTATAATAAAAAGTAAAATAAAATAATAATAATAATAACACTGTAATAATGATAATAAAGAAAAGAAAAATACTAATCAATAGTGAGAAATGCTACATGTATAGTATGTTTTGTTGCCAATAGTAAGAGAAACAATTGAGATCCTGCAATTGTGTGTAAATGAGGCAGAAAGACAGATCAACAACCTGGGACTTGGTCACAATATTCGTGATGCCATATGGCAGCAGGGTCTACCATTAGACAACACATTATGCTTCCAATATCTTCCCAGGCGGTAGTACCTCCCTGTTTGATAGCTGCCTGCTACCTACTACCTTCATTAGCAAATCATTTCCATATCTATACAATATTTATATTGAAATTGTTTGTGTAATACAGTCTACTTCTCTTTCTCATTTTATTTATCATCCTTTGGTACTGTATTGGTAAAACTTGATATAGACAGGATAAATTGTATACCTGTACTGTTATTTTTAATGTGATTTTTTGAATAATCACAAATAATTCCTAACATGATTCTGTGGACATATTGTATTTCCTTTGGCTACATCTTCCTTTATGGTAGAAACTATATTGTTTAAATGTAGTTAGTAGTACTGTACAGTATCAATTAGATTGTTTGCCAACTTTTGAATTCTCAGCCCAGTTTTAGACATTTAGGCAATACAGTACTCTTTGGTAGAGTACAGTATTGTATATAGCACTGTATGCTTGACATTTTAAATGGTAAAAGTTATGTCCCAAAAATTGTATTATATCTTATATTGCAGCCAATAACTGTAGGTGGTGTGAGACCTGCAACAGCCACAGCAGGAGCGGGCCAGGCAACTCAAGCACAAGTAAATCAGATGGCCACACAAGTGATGCAGTCAGGGGTCGCTGGTGTACCCCAGGCCACCATCCCCATCCAGATTCCCATATCAACAGCTGGAGGCCAAACTGTTTTTCAGACTATTCCCTTCCCTGTACAGATTCCTGTTCTTCCAAATGTTGTGCAAGCTAATGGCCAGACACTGCAAGTTATGCCTCAGCTGACACAGGTAAGGTTACTTAATGTAAGTGAAAAGAAACTCCCCAAGTGATTATGTGGCTCACCTTAAATAATCATTATGTTTGAGTCCTTGATGATTCAAACTTACTCAGACTATTTACATTACTTCTAGTATTTTTGTTTTTTCTTTTTTCTTTTGTAAATTATAGTCAGAGCCTACCCAACATGAAATCAACTACAGTATACGATACATGGTTGAAAAAATGCGATAAAAATCTCGCACATGTTGAGAAATTCACTTACACGTTCATTGAACATGTCACAGCATGGGCAGCAGGACACCCAGGAAACATTCTCCCACCCAGTTACAGCTCAGTATTGTTAAGGAAAGGTAAATGTGTGCCTTCACTATATTTTTGGGGAAATTTGTGGTTTTACCCTTTTTTTCAAGTATGGGTACAATATTCCCTAATTTATGAAAGGGTTCCATTCCTGAAAAACCTTTTGTAAATTGAAGCACATTTTCATGTAGATCCTTTATAAAAGATGAGATTTGTTCTTATGAAAATATCCCCAGAGCAACTCAAAATGCAAACAAATACTACACACATGTTTTTAATGAAAAATTTGTGTACACAATTATTATAAGCCAATAATAAACATAGGTAATTAGTGAAATACATGCAGTACTGTACAGTAATAGTTTTATACCAGCTGCTTATATTTACGATAAACCGGACAAAATTGGAAATAAAGTGAACATTATGAAATGCTTATCCAACCTATATAATATATATATTTTTTTTTATGGGGAATAGCCCACCTGGGCACAGGTCATCGACCCACAACAGGGCTTGGGAGGCAAAATAATAAGAGTAAAAAAAAAAGATTAGAAAATAAAACATTATATTAATCTACACCACGAAGATGCCAGAAAACTATCTTTATAAAGTGAGACAGCTTGTATGAGTATAGAAACACAGAAGAAGGCAGAGCATTCCACAATTTGGCTGTGGGAGGAAAGAAGGATGTACAGTACTATAATGGGTTATTCTAGTGTGACTGACATCCACAGAGAAACGGTGGGCACCGCAGGCAAGACGACTGTTACGAGCCCACGGCCTTGCCGGCGGTACACAGGATGCCAAATCCACCGAACATTGCCTGTTAAAGTACCTGTAAAAGAGAGAGAGTGAAGCAACATTGTGGAGAAGAGAAAGGAAAGAAAGATTATCAACTAAAGGAGGAGAGTTAATAAGACAAAATGCCTTTGATTCCACCCTATCTAACAGTTGGACAGAAGAAGAGCCACACCAGATATGAGAGTACATGTACTCCAAGTTAGGACGAATGAATCCCTTATATATGTGAAGCAACTGCTCAGGAGTGAAGTAGCTATGACATCTCTACAGCATTCCCAGTTTTCGGGAGGCAGCTTTAGCAATGTTGAGGATATGTGGCTTCCATGACATATTAGAGAAAATGGCGAGGCCTAGCATATTTGTTTTAGAACTTGGCAGAATGATTGCGTCCTGAAATGTGATTGGTGGGACATCATCTAATTTGGAAAGTGTAATTGGTAAATACTGAGTTTTATTGCTATTGAATTTAACCAAGTTTCTACCTCCCTATTCAGAGATGCTGCACAGATCCACATTGATAGATGTAATGATATCAGCTCTAGAAACATCTAGTTTGAGAGTTAGAGGGAAGGGAAAAATGAGAAGAATGAAGAATAGAATTATCAATGTAAGAATGGATAAAATTAGTAGTGCTGTAGTGTAAAGTAAATCATTGTTAAAAAGAAGGAAGAGAGTAGGTGAAAGAACAGAATCCTGTGGGACACCACTATTGGTGAAGCACTATATTATTATATATTAACTCACACTGTATAATTGGAGATATGTTTTCTGAAAAAAAAAGTTTCCACACTTGACCCCTAATGTGGTACAGGCAGTGACCATTATACAATGGGGTTAGGGACCTGAAAATGTCATGGGGAAAAATAGGTTCCATTCCTGAGCCCCTGAAGAGCCTAAATAAGTTTTATATCCTGATGCTATAATGATACTTTCAAGAAAGTAACTTAAGTCTTTTTTTCTTTTTCTTTTTTAGGGTGTATGACCTTGTTGATTTTATAGTAAATGAAGATTATAAACAAGTGAAAGTATTTTTTAAATTAGGTGTTGCTGTTTTACTGTTAATGCTCAATAATGCTGCCTTTTTTATTGGTCTTTTAAGAATTTCCATATGTTGAGTAACAGAAAAAAATCCCTTTAACCCCTTGGGTATGAGGGGTCTCTCTGCTGAATGAAATGGTCTGGCATCTAGTAGTGAAAGGGTTAAAAAGTAGTGGCACTTCTGAGGAATAAAGAAACAAACCACTGTGCTGTTGTTATTATTGTTACTGTTATTAACTTCATTCTAAGGGTTATGTTTTGGAAACCTGGTATGAAGGTGAAGGGTAATCTCATTTTTAATTTATTCCATTTATAGGTCCTGGTCTCACATTGAGGATTCAACTCCTTAGACATTCTGGATATACAGAGTTGTTCAATCTCACTTAGGTTATTAAATGGTATTCGGGGTCAGTCAGACATTCTTCTTGTTGGCCCTTGTTCGTAGGGCAGACTATTTATCTTAAGTTTTGCATGGATATGTAAATACAGTAGGTTATTGGTATATTTATCTTGCTTTTTTATGCATTTAAGACTCATTATCTTTTCAGCAAGTACAAGCTCAGCCCCCGATTGCACAAATTCTGCTTCCAAATGGCCAAGTACAACAAGTGCAGATGCTATGGGGTAGTGCATCAGGCATGATGTCTCTTGGGTCAACTAATTTTGGATCTGCTGCCATGACCCAATTAGCCACATCTCAGCCTCTCACCACATCTACCTGGGCTACCAACACTATATCAACACCATCTGTTGCTATACCAACTGTCCACAGCAGCGCAACCACCAATGTTACGGCTGAGAGCAAGCAACAAGCAACACAGCAGGTTAGAAAGCTTTTTTATTTACCAGTACAAGATAATTATGGTGTAAGCAAACAAAAATTGGCAATTTGTGTTTGCTGACACCATAATTATCTTGTATTATATGGACCCATCCTTATATCTCAGTATCAGGACCCCACTCTTATATCTCAGTATAAGGATCCCATCCTTATACACTATCACATTATCAGGATCCCACTCTTTTATCAGTATCAGGACCCCATCCTTATATCACATTATCAGGACCCCTCTTTTATATCAGGATCCCATCCTCATATCTCAATATCAAGACACCACTCTTATATCAGTATCAGGACCCAATCCTTATATTTCAGTATCAGGACCCCACTGTTATATCAGTATCAGGACCCCATCCTTATATCTCGGTATCAGGACCCCATCCTTATATCTCAGTATCAGGACCCCACTCTTATATCTCAGTATAAGGATCCCATCCTTATACACTATCACATTATCAGGACGCCATTCTTATATCAGTATCAGGACCCCATCCTTATATCACATTATCAGGACCCCACTCTTATATCAGGATCCCATCCTCATATCTCAATATCAGGACCCCCACTCTTATATCAGTATCAGGACCCAATCCTTATATTTCAGTATCAGGACCCCACTGTTATATCAGTATCAGGACCCCATCCTTATATCTCGGTATCAGGACCCCACTCTTATATCAGGATCCCATCCTCATATCTCAATATCAGGACCCCACTCTTATATCAGTATCAGGACCCAATCCTTATATTTCAGTATCAGGACCCCACTGTTATATCAGTATCAGGACCCCACTGTTATATCAGTATCAGGACTCCATCCATATATCTCGGTACTGTACTGTATCAATACATGTATTTCTGTATTTCCCTCATTATTGTACCCATTTTGTAAACTTAATCCCTTACTTTTCTTTTCTTTATATTACCTTCTGTCTTTTATTTTTATTTTATTGTTTCTAGCCGTTGTGTTATAATACAGGGTGGCTCTACATCCATTTGAATTATCCATAGAATATGAATTACCCACAGGCAGGAGCTAAAAACTGGAAACCCAATAATGACCAGGGAAAAAGAAAGGGAAGGAAGAATAGGAATGAAAAATAACAAATATAGTGTTGAAACAGGAGAAAGTGTAAGTGCTTGTGTCAGGCAGAAAAATAAAGCTGGAGTGTGATTATAACCAAAGTAATGTAAGTCAGAGAGGAGACCATGAAGATAGAGATTTTAATTTTGTCTTCTACTTCTGTAAAAGGGTTCTGTTGGCACTTAAAGCTAGTCCTTTAATATGTTTTCATAAACCTTTACTTGAGATTTAGAATAACATGTACAGTATAACACAATAGCAGAACTATAAAAGTGGTGCTTACAGTCGGGAATCTTGTTCTCTCACAGGCATCATCTGGAGGAGCAACCACTATAACATCAACGAGCCCTTCACAGGTGGTAGGGCCTGGAGCAACCATAACAGCTTCAAATACCTCACAGCTTTTACCACAAGGCATTACTGTTTCCCCACAAGTAAGACATTGAAATGTGTTTCTTCTAAGCATACTTAGTGTACTAACATCAAATCTCTTCATGTGACATTTTGACTCATTGTCTTTGAATATTTGCATTAGGTAACCAAATTTTTGCTGAAGATTTTCAGAGAGCATGATGCATCCATACATAAATCCACCTCCCACACAGAATACTGAGCACATTCATGCTCTTCATTTTTATTTTTATTTTTTTATAGTTTTTTATTATATTTTGTTTATTTCTATGTCACATTAGAGTACTGAAATGATTTGTAATTTTTTTTTACATATTCATTACATGAATCAGTGGCAACATGCATAACCATCTCAAGGCACAGCTGTCTGGCAACTTGTGTTGTGTAGTGAAGATTATGCAGGTGTGTATGGGACCCACTTTCACTTTTAGTGGAGATGAAGTGGATCATACTTACAATATGCTTTTAGTGGAGATGAAGTGGATCATACTTACAATATGCTTTTAGTGGAGATGAAGTGGATCATACTTACAATATGCTTTTAGTGGAGATGAAGTGGATCATACTTACAATATGCTTTTAGTGGAGATGAAATGGATCATACTTACAATATGCTTTTAGTGGAGATGAAGTGGATCATACTTACAATATGCTTTTAGTACAGTATACAGTATTCAGTTCCAAATTTCTGCATTAACTCAGGAACAGAAGTTTATTGTTAACCAGTTTTCCTTCATGGTAGATACTTTCTGCTCTTTTGGGTCTTGCCTGAACTTACTTGCCTGGGTATTGTTCTCACAATATGTGTTGTTTATATGTAACAAGAGAACAGGCATGCACTTAGTAATAGCCTCACGTTGACTGAGTACAGTGCACTGTCTTTTGATGTGGACAGGACCAAATGTTCTATGCTGTGTCATGCCACAACAATAACAATGACCTGCAAGATATTTTTTCGAATTTTTAAATAATTTCTTGCAAGATTTATGTCCAGTACTTGGGGGTTTTACTGTATTTTCAAATACAGTAAACCCTTGTTATTCATGGGGGTTAGGTTTCAAGGAATGGCTCAAATCAGCAAAGCCGTAAATAACCACTTATACTACCATAGGATCAATGTTGGAAGAGTGTGATGCAGTAGTGGTTGGTGGAATTGAGCACAACATGAGAGATGTTGCATTGTGAGCAGTCGGTGAGCACAAACAAGGGAGAGGAGACGCTGTAGGCCCATATGGGTGAGCTGTAGTGCTCTCAAAGAGGCTCGTGAGCTAGCCACCGTCTATTTGCCGTGAACAGTCAAACCCGTGAATTGTAAACCCGCAAACAAGTAGGGTTTACTGTACCCTGTAATAGTCAACTTAAAGTGCCAACAAATTGTTTACTGATCTGCTAACATGTAACAAAATCATGATGCTTTAATAAAATTATAGTTCTGTACTTGACTTTGTCTAATACAGTTTAAGCTAACTCAAAATCTTTCACATACTGTACTGTATAGCTCTATGAATAGTCTCAGTCCAAGACAATAATTATTTTCACTCTATAACAAAGAGAAAATAACAAATCTAAGTAACTTCACAGTGGTTGAGAAAATATGGTGACTCCCCAATCTTCTTACTCCTCCTTCTCTTCTTACTCCACCTTCTCTTCTTACTCCACCTTCTCTTCTTACTCCACCTTCTCTTCTTCTTACTCCACCTTCTCTTCTTACTCCACCTTCTCTTCTTTTTACTCCACCTTCTCTTCTTTTTACTCCACCTTCTCTTCTTACTCCACCTTCTCTTCTTACTCCACCTTCTCTTCTTACTCCACCTTCTCTTCTTACTCCACCTTCTCTTCTTTTTACTCCACCTTCTCTTCTTACTCCTCCTTCTCTTCTTACTCCACCTTCTCTTCTTCTTACTCCACCTTCTCTTCTTACTCCACCTTCTCTTCTTACTCCACCTTCTCTTCTTCTTACTCCACCTTCTCTTCTTACTCCACCTTCTCTTCTTACTCCACCTTCTCTTTTTCTTATTGTTTCTTACTCTTTCTTGTTATTCCTATTTTTTTCTTATTCCTACTCTTTCTTCTTAATCCTACTTTCTTCTTATTCCTATTCTTTCTTCTTATTCCTTCTCATTCTTCTTATTCCTACTTTTTTCTTATTCCTACTTTCTTCATATTCCTACTCTTTCTTATTCCTACTTTCTTATTCCTACTCTTCTTATTCCTACTCTTTCTTCTTATTCCTGCTTTCTTCTTATTCTTACTCCTTCTTATTCCTACTCTTTCTTCTTATTCCTGCTTTCTTCTTATCCCTAATTTCTTCTTATTCCTACTCTTTCTTATTCCTACTCTCTTCTTATTCCTGCTTTCTTCTTATTCCTACTCTTTCTTCTTATTCCTACTTTCTTCTTATTCCTACCCTTTTTTCATATTCCTACTTTCTTATTATTCCTTCGCTTTCTTCTTATCCCCACTCTTTCTTCTTATCCCTACCCTTTCTTCATATTCCTACTTTCTTATTATTCCTACTCTTTCTTCTTATTCTTACTCTTTCTTATTCCTACTTTCTTCTTATTCCTACCCTTTCTTCATATTCCTACTTTCTTCTTATTCCTACTCCTTCTTATCCCTAGTTTCTTCTTATTCCTACTCTCTTCTTATTCCTGCTTTCTTCTTATCCCTACTTTTTTCTTATTCCTACTCCTTCTTATTCCTACTCTTTCTTATCCCTAGTTTCTTCTTATTCCTACTCTTTCTTCTTATTCCTGCTTTCAATTCAATTTCAATTTCAATTGTTTATTCCTTGATAGAGGAAGCGGGATCCTAGTGCTGTCACTAGGTACCCCTGTACAATACAATGACACCAGAAGCATCTGGCAAGTGTGACAAGTATATACAGTATGAATATTATAAAGGGGCTTACTAAAGCCTAAGGGGGTCGTGGAGTGGTGGTCCAGCAGGCGTCACGGAAGTATTGTGTGTGGGGACATCTTAGGAGGTAGTGGATAAGGGTGCTGCTGTTGGGTCTTCTGCATAATGCAGCAATCACGTCCCCTTTCCGCGACCCTTTCCCGTAGACGTACGAGAGGTCAGGAAGTTTACGGAGGACATCGTACCAGGTGGGCGGGGAGTCCAGGGGGATGGCTGCTTCCCGAACTTCTCTCTGTTTGCGGCGAATTTGGGTCCTAATCTGTAAAAGTGTTCGAGGAACAACGTAGTCAGGTGTGGCCTTGTTGCAGCCAGTCTTGGCAAGGCCATCTGCTGCCTCATTCCCCAAGATACCGACATGACTGGGTATCCATAGGAATGTCACAGGACGGCCTGCATCGTGAAGTGTGGATGTTAACCCTCGTATTCGGAAGATGAGGTCATTATTTTCCCCTGATCCAAATGCGATCCCGTCGAGAGCAGACCTGGAATCGCAGCAGACAAGCAAGGGCAGAAACCATCTGCTGCTTCCTCAGCGAGAAGGGCAGCAAGGAGGGCTATTAGTTCAGCCTGAGTGGAGGATGCCCCGTCAGAAACTCTGAGAGACAGTTTGATAGGCTCAGGGGCATCAGGACGGGAGATGTAGACACCAGCCCCGGCCCTACCTGTAGCGGGGTCAACAGAACCATCAGTGTAGAGGACGACCCTACCTGGGGACCAGTGGGCGATCCTGGAGAGGTGTTATTTGCAGAGAATAACAGGGTTCACCTGGGATTTCGGGAGTGGACCACCGAGGGCAATCACTTCAGGTTGAAAATCCAGCCAGGGAGAAGGAGACGAACCAACAGCAGGGCTGACAACAATATCAGGCAGGAGGTCGTGTTCCTGAAGGGCTCGGATGAGTGACCCTCGCCACTGTCTTCTAGATGGAGGCCGGTCTCGGACAGCAGGAGTCAAGTTGGTTTGGACATAGTTGCCCCGAGGATCCCGTAGAATGGAAACGGCAGTTTTTAGGTAAAACTCCTGGACACGATCCTGTAAGGGGGAAAGACCAAGTTCGGTATATAGAGAAGTAGAGCGTGTCCACTGAGGAGCCCCAAGGATGATACGAGCAGCTTTACTCTGGATAACTTCGAGATGGTTGACAGCAGTCCGACTAATGTTGACGAGGGCAGGGGCGGCGTAGTCGACACAGGAACGGACAAAGGACTTGTACATGGTGAGAAGTACAGGGATGGTGGCACCAAGGGAACCCCTGCACATGGTAGAGAGGGGAGCGAGACGCCGAAAGCATATGTCTCAAAGATAGCGGACTTCAAGGATCTGACAATGTGTGCGAGTTACATACACACCCAGGTATTTTGTCTCATTAACCCAGTCCAAGGGCGTTCCTGATAAGAGAAGGGGTGGAGGTACAACTCGACCGTGCCACATGGCTTTTGTTTTCACAGTTGAAAGAAGGAAACCAAGTGAATCACACTCTCTGGAGACCAAATCAAGGGCTTCCTGCATACTGAGGTAGTCAGGGGCTTGGAGGAGGACATCGTCGGCATATCCTGAGTGGACAATTTCTGTCGGCCACGGGAGAGATGCAATGGAGTGCATGAGAGTGTTAAACAAGGTGGGACTCAGGACTCCACCTTGAGGGGTGCCGAGGTTCATTTCTTCAACAGGAGACATAGAGCCTTCAATGCGAACCCAGGCCTGACGTCCAGTGAGGTAAGAGGCGATCCATTGTAGAAGTCTCCCTTTAACCCCTAACCGCGCAAGTTCAGCTAAAATGAGGGCAGGCTGAGCCGTATCAAAGGCTCCCTTGATATCAAGGAAGACGGAGATGCGGGCAGTCTTATTGCAATAAAAGGAAGCAATGGAGTGTGCTGTGCTGCGATGTTGAATAAAACCATTGAGGGAGTTGTGGAAGCTGCCTATGGTGTGAAGAAGCTTTCTTCTTATCCCTAGTTTCTTCTTATTCCTACTCTTTCTTCTTATTCCTGCTTTCTTCTTATCCCTACTTTCTTCTTATTCCTACTCTTCCTTATCCCTAGTTTCTTCTTATTCCTACTCTTTCTTCTTATTCCTACTCTTTCTTCTTATTCCTGCTTTCTTT